ATTGCCCAGGTCAAAGTTGGTTGGAGATTGGGTGGCCTATGCCTCTCGACGAAGGGTAACAGGCGTAAGTAAGTAATGTACAAAGGAAACTAAATGAAATGAACAAGCGTTAAAACAGAAACCGAAATGGCTGGGTAGGTTGGAAGCATTTTTCACGATAAACAAGCACACCTAAAGCTAAGATAAATCAGAAGAATATAACAGTTGTTTTACAATAAGTTAAATACCGGATTCAAATTCAGTAGTCAACATTTTTCATTGCAGGTTGCATAATAATACAGCAAAGAATATTGAGATTTATTCACACACCCCTACTATTATTTAACAGTGCTTTTACCTGCAACGTAAGAAAATAAAATCAAAAACAACTTATTCGAAATACAGATAACTCGATTCAATGTCGGCTCATTAAATTTCAAAAGTTATACTTGATCAATTAAATCCCTCACTATTTTTTATCCCGATCAGCTACACTGATTGTAGTATCTGTCTCTGTGATCTTGATGAAAAATAATGAAAAGCCCTGACTTAAGGGTTAAAGATACTATTAAAGTATATGCCGGGGTCCCGACCGTTGTTGCTAACTTGACATGGTGGTCGGGTTTGCCTACCGTGATGAACCAATAAAGCTATACTGGCTGGAACAATAGTTACTCAAGGTTTTACTATGACAGACAGGTCGGTTGAAGAACAGTAAGAATAAAAGCAACAAACCCAAGGTCCGAAGGCGAAGTCGTACTGCTGACTGTGCAGAGATGTGAAGGCAGTAAGGTGTTTCCTTCAGACAACTAGTATAACAGCGATGCTGCCTTCCCACAAAGGGTGAGGTTAGAAAGGGTAGACCCTAAAAATGCACACATCATCTTATCCCACGGATATCTGTCTCCGGTAGTAAAGTCTCAAAAATCACAATAAGGTCGTGTGTGGCTGACCTCAAGCTGTTGTCACTTAGGCACTGCGATCACACTCTCAGGTCACTAAGACCACCTCTAGTCCAATTTTCTTTTCAGGTACCTCTAGAAGAACCCTTCCACAGTCTGGACAACCGGGAAGTGTCAACCGCCCTCACACCTCTAACGGCACTCAAGACCACTGTATTCATAATCAATTTCCCCCTTCAATTCCTATTATTCCTCCTTTGTTGACTTTCAACTCTAAACTTCCTCCTTTGACTTCCTCCTCAAGTAACACCATGGCCAACGATTGTAGTGCACAAAACACTGTCCCAGGTCTACTGAACTTCTTCAAAAAGCTAAACGTTCAGACATAGTACTCGTAGCAGGTGACTTTGATGCCCAGACAGGTAGTTTAAACCAAACAGAAAAGCATTTAGATGGGTATTTTGGAATCCAGGCTCAGCGAACAGATAATGGTGATTGTCTGCTGCAACTGTGCTCAGACAATCGTTTATTTTTAGAAAACACAAATTTTAAGCATAAGGAGAGACATCGTCTAACATGGCGACCCACTACACCAAACCAACGATGGACTCAAATAGACCATATTACCATCAGTCATCGTTGGAGAGGGTCGATAGAAGATTGTCGCTCATTCTAGAATACCTACTTGGACTCCGACCATGCTCTAATACAGGCACGCATCTGCTTGCGCCTCACTGGACGCCACAGTAAAAAGACCCATTAGAACTGAATTGAGTAGCGAGAAAACCAAAAGTAGGTTCCAGAAACAACTGAGGTCTCACTTAGGTAGTTCTGAAAACGAGGCTGACCCAGATGGTGCTTGGAAGGATATACAAACAGCTGTGGAAACAGCAGTGACATCTATTAGTGATTTAAACCACAGGGTTATAAAGAACCAAAGGATTTCTTCAAGGTCTATCGCACTGATGGATTCTCTTAAACTCATCCTATCAGGCTCTGAACACGATGAAGAGCGAAAATAAATCAGATCCCGGTTAACCAAAAGTCTAAGGGACGACCGTGAGCAGTGGTGGTCAACGAAAGCAAAAGAGATAGAGAATGCGGCGGCTATAGGTAACACAAGACAGCTCTTCAGACTAATAAAAGAAACTGGAATTAATAAGTCAAGTGCAAGTGAGGTGATCTCGAAAAAAGACGACACTTATCTGCTTTCAGCCCAGACGTTCAGAATGATGGGCGGAACACTCTAAGGAGCACTTCAGCTGACCTTCAGCTACACTACTACTATCTACCATTCCCAGACAGTCTGAATGGAACACTCCCGACCGTTGTTGCTACCTTGACGTGGTGGTCGGGCTTGCCTATCGTGATGAAGCAACCGAGCTATACTGGCTGGAACAACCGTTCCTCAAGGTCCTACCATGTCAGACAGGTCGGTTGAAGAGCGGTAAGACTAAAAGCAACAAACCCAAGGTCCGAAGGCGAAGTCGTACTGCTGACTGTACAGAGGTGTGACAGCAGTAAGGTGTTTCCTTCAGACAACCAGCATGACAGCGATGCTGCCTTCCCACAAGGAGGGGTGGGGTTAGAAAAGGTCGACCCTAAAAATGCACACCTCACCTTACCTCACGGATTTCCGTCTCCGGCGGTAAGGCCCTTTGAAGAACGGAGCTAACACGTCGAAAACCTCCCACAAAAAGGCCGTGCGCGACCGGCCTCAAGCAGTTGTCCCTTGGGCACTGCGGTCACGCTCTCAGGTCACTGAGACCACCTCTAATCCAATTTCCTTTTCAGGTACCTCCAGAAGAACCCTTCCACGGTGTGGGCAACCGGGAAGTGATAACCGCCCTCATACCTCTAACAGCACCCAAGACTGACTGACTGAATGGAACACTGAAGTAGGTCCTCTGACTAACTGAAGTTCAAAAGGCTATAGTTAATCTGAAACGAGGAAGAACAGCTGACTCAGATGGATTGATTGCAGAGGTCTTTAGGGATGGTGATCAAATTTTGGTGGTCAGGTTGACTAATATTTTAGCTAAAATCTGGGAGTTGGATGCAATCCCATCTGACTGGTCACAACCACTGATTGTCCCAATATACAAGAAATGAATTCCAATGGTCAAATAAGGTCACAGGTTAGACAGACATCATCCTCCATTGCGAAACATTTGGTTGATATCAAATCAGCATTTGTTGTGTTGTACAAAAGCCTTCAAGGACGTATACTAAGGTTTATTGAAGCCTTGGCTATACGGAAATTGAAACCCCCTTTGCGTGTTCAAAAACAATTTGTCCTTACACTTAACCTACCCTGGTAATACTATTTATTAACCAGAGTGTTAATCACATTTGTTTTTTATGTACTTTAATATTTTTCCTTTGTTATGACTTACCCTTAACCTGTCTAGTTGACCTCTTAATTTTCATATATAAATGTTCTTAACAAGTATATGTGTGATCAGATTGTTCGAAATGTATTGCGCAGATATATCACATAATTCTAATAAACTACGTCTTCTCATTGCATTATCTAAATTTATCAAAGGGACTAATTGTTTTAAATACAAGAAATGGTCAAAACCATCCTGCGACAAATCGTTACTTCAGGACTGGCCTGCGTCAATACTTGAACTAAGGATAGGGAGTGAAAAAGTCGAATGCGTTGAAAACTTCACCTATCTTGGAAGTCTGATAAGCCCTAATGGGTTGGTGTCAGAAAAAATCTCAGCACAGATTCGAAAAGCTCGTTTGGCTTTTGCCAACTTAAGTCACCAACTATGGCGAAGGCAAGGTATCCGTCTATCAATTAAGGGACGAGTATACTGCACAGCAGTTCGTCCTGTTTTACTTGAAGGCTGTCAAACGTAGTCAGTGAGGGTAGAAGATACTCGTAAGTTACTAGTATTTGACCACAGATGTCTTAGAAATATTGCTCGCATCTGCTGGGATAACCGGGTAAGTAATAGTGATTTTAGATGTAGGGTATTTGGAAATGATGGTAAATCAGGTGGTGAAGTTGTGCATCTTCATTGACTGAAATGGTTGGGCCACGTGTTGTGTATGCCTGAACACCGTTTACCGCGAAGCGCAATGCTGACTAGTGTTGAAGACGGCTGGAAGAAAGTTAGGGGCGTACAAACCAAAACGTGGCATCAGTTCTTGAAGTCACTAACTCCTAGTCTGAGCCATGTTGGTAGATGCAAACTACTTGGTTGGGGTCCGCGTGACTTTCGTAACCGATGGTTGGAGACTCTTGGTGACATGGCTCAGAATCTATCACAATGGCGTAGGCGTACACACTCTCTGTCTTCCCTTAACCTAAGAGATTAAAATCGCTTCCTATCTTTCTTTCTACGTTCTAATTCTTTCTTCCTGTACCAATTCCTTATATACAATCTTTCTTCTATATATTACCACCTCTGAATTAACTACTTTTATGAATCCGGTGTTTATGTTGTTGTGTTAATGAGGTTTGGCAACTTGAACCGATGCATATATGTGCCTGGTTCGATGTTGTAGCTGACTGACTGACTGATATGCCCGAGTACTATAATTCTTTAATCAATATGAGAAGTGGCTCCACGCCACGTACAAATCTGTAAACGAATTTAAGGAATAGTATGCTTATCATTATTCGACTGAATGCTATCCATTCAAATGTATCCTAACCATCAGTGTAATCGACACTCATTCACAAACCAACGATTTATATAACTGTAAGTGGATATGGCACAAATCACTTGCTTGAATGAAGCATATTAATCAAGAGTTCTACTGAAATTCCGACTTTTAGATGATCGACATTTGTTGCTCAGGTGCATGATTCTGATAGTTTTATTCTCTAAGCTGGATGGTTTGGTCGTGGAGCATCATCAGCACAAACTCCATGTAGTAGTGCTGAGGATATCGTTCAGAAGAACGATGAAAGCTTCACGACCAAACCATCCAGCTCAGAGAACAAAACTCCATCGAAATTCCGATTTCACAGTAAAGTTGTAGCATTTGAGCTTAATAAAAAGTTCCACAAAATGAAACCTGGAAATAAACATTTCTAGGAAATTTAAATTACTAAGTATTATTAGTACACAAAAAACAAAATACAGACGATCAACGTACTTGACTAACTTCTTTGCATTGTAACGCCAAGGTGTACAAGGTTCCAGAAGGTGAACAGAGTAGTTTCGTTTCACACCCTTGCATATTCAGTAAACAGTAAAAAATAAGAATCAATTAACCATTCTATACGTCAAGAGTATGTACATATGCAAATTTCCCTGTGTTAGAGATTCGTTAGATAGATACATCTTACATCCAAATGATGATCACACTAAAATTCAAATAAGCTACCTACCATTTAAAAACACAGTACTATCTACTGGGTGCGTTTTGTTATATTAATCTTACTTACTTACTTACTTACATACTTACGCCTGTTACTCCCAATGGAGCATAGGCCGCTGACCAGCATTCTCCAACCCAATCTGTCCTGGGCCTTCTTTTCTAGTTCCATCCAATTCTTGTTCATTTTTCTCATGTCTATTTCCATTTCCCAGAGTCATGTGTTCTTTGGTCTTCCTCTTTTCCTTTGGCCTTGAGGATTCCATGTGAGGGCTTGTCTTGTGACGCAGTTGGGTGCTTTCCTCAATGTGTGTCCTATCCACTTCCAGCGCTTCTTCCTGATTTCTTCCTCCGCTGGGATCTGGTTTGTTCTCTCCCACAATAGGTTGTTGCTAATAGTGTCCGGCCAATGGATCTGAAGTATTTTGCGTAGACAATTGTTAATAAACACCTGTATTTTCTGGATGATGGCTTTTGTAGTTCTCCAGGTTTCTGCCCCATATAGTAGAACTGTCTTGACATTTGTATTGAAAATCCTGACCCTGGTGTTGGTTCACAGTTGCTTTGAGTTCCAGATGTTCCTCAGTTGTAAATATGCTGCTCTTGCTTTGCCGATCCGCGCCTTCACATCTGCATCAGATCCACCCTGTTCGTCAATGATGCTGCCCAAATATGTAAAGGTTTTTACATCTTCCAAATCTTCTCCGTCAATTGTGATTGGATTGGTGCATGCTGTGTTGTATCGGAGAATCCTGGTTTTCCCTTTGTGTATATTGAGACCTACTGCTGCTGAGGCTGCTGCCACACTGTTTGTCTTCTCCTGCATCTGTTGTTGCGTTTGGGATAGAAGGGCAAGATCGTCTGCGAAGTCTAGACCATCCAACTGCATCTTAGATGTCCATTGTATCCCGCGCTTCCCTTCAGACGTTGACGTCTTCATGATCCAGTCGATCACCAGGAGAAAGAGAAAGGGTGAGAGTAAGCAACCTTGCCTAACACCGGTCTTCACTTCGAACGACTTTGTCAACTGTCCTCCATGCACCATTTTGCAGTGTAATCCATCATATGAACTCTGTATGATATTGACTATCTTCTGAGGCACGCCGTAGTGTCGAAGAAGTTTCCATAGTGTTGTTCTGTCCACGCTATCAAATGCCTTTTCGTAGTCAATGAAGTTGATGTAGAGTGATGAATTCCATTCAATTGATTGTTCCACAATGATCCGTAGAGTTGCGATTTGGTCTGTACACGATCTATCCTTACGGAATCCTGCCTGTTGGTCACGAAGTTGGGCGTCTACGCAGTCCTTCATCCTGTTTAGCAATACCCTGTTGAAGACTTTTCTCGGTATTGAGAGAAGAGTGATGCCCCTGTAGTTATCACACTTGCTGAGATCGCCTTTCTTCGGTATTTTGATCAGAAGTCCTTCTTTCCAGTCTGTTGGTACTTGTTCCTCATCCCGGATCTTATTGAAGAGAATGTGGAGTATCCTTGCAGTTGCCGCTACGTCTGCTTTTAGTGCCTCTGCTGGGATGTTGTCCGGTCCTGCTGCTTTGCCACTCTTGATTTGTCTGATGGCCATGCTGATTTCTTCAATTGTTGGTGGGCTAACATTGATTGGGAGGTCCGTGGGTGCTGCTTCGATGTTGGGTGGGTTCAGTGGAGCTGGTCGATTCAAGAGTTCTTTGAAGTGTTCTACCCACCTGTTTTGTTGCTCTTCAATGTTGGTGATTACCTTGCCTTCTTTGCTTTTCACTGGTCGTTCTGGTTTGCGGCGATTTCCAGAGAGTTTCTTTGTCGTGTCATGCAATTGTCTCATGTTTCCTTCTCTTGCAGCCTTTTCCGCCGTCGTTGCTAAATCTTCCACATATTTACGTTTGTCGGTTCTGATGCTCCTCTTCACCTGTTTGTTTACTTCTGTGTATTCAGCTTGTGCCTTGGCTTTTTCTGCTCTTGTTCGGCTGGTATTGATTGCTGCCTTCTTGTTCCTCCTTTCTTGAATCTTATCCAGTGTATCAACAGTGATCCATTCCTTGTGATGGTGCTTCTTGTGACCCAGGACCTCATGACATGTTGAAGTGATTGCCTCTTTGATCCCCTTCCAGTTGCTCTCCACAGTAGTTCCTTCTCCATTGAGTAGATCATGAAAGGTCTGGAACTTGTTGCTGAGGACTATCTTGAGTTTGTTGAGTTTGTTAGTATCCTGAAGAAAGGCCGTATTGAACTTTTGTGATATTGTCCGCCCCGTTGTCCAGTGTTTCTTGAGTTTCAATTTCATCTTGGCGACCAGCAAGTGATGATCTGATGCTATATCAGCTTTTTCTTGGTTCTCACGTCCTCTATAGTCCTCCTGAACGTTTTGTTGATGCAAATATGGTCGATTTGGTTTTGTGTAGAGTGATCCGGTGAAGTCCATGTGGTTTTGTGTATGCGTTTATGTGGGAATATGGTGCCGCCTATGACCAGCTTATTGAAGGCACACAGGTTTGCAAATCTCTCACCATTTTCGTTTCTTTCTCCCAGTCCGTGTCGTCCCATGATGTCTTCATATCCAGTGTTCTCCGTTCCAACCTTGGCGTTGAAATCTCCCATCAGAATAGTTAGGTCCTTTGTTGGGCACTTCTCGACGATTAACTGCAGCCTATTGTAGAATTGATCTTTAGCGTCTTCATTGTAGTCGTTGGTAGGCGCATAGCATTGGATGATGTTCATTGAAATGCCATCTTTCTTTGTTTTGAACGAGGCTTTGATGATCCTTGGCCCATGAGATTCCCATCCTATAAGCGCATTTTATGCTTGTTTGGACAGCATCAATGCAACTCCTTGTGTATGTGGTGCATTTTCTTCTTCATGGCCGGAGTATAGCAGGAGCTCTCCTGTAGTTAGTCGTTGTTGTCCAACTTGTGTCCAATGTGTTTCACTGATCCCAAGTACCTCTAGGTTGTATCTTCTCATTTCTGCAGCAATTTGGAAGGCTCTCCCGGTGTCCCACAGTGTACGAACATTCCATGTACCTAAATAAATGGTTGCTCTGGTTGTCAGAAGGGGCATCGGCCTCGTAACTTCTGAAGGAATTCGGCTTTCATCATGAGGCGTCATAATTCTTCCAAATGAAGACCTTCTGACTCCCAGGGCAGAGTTTAAAAGGTTTGAATAGTTTTTTTCTGGTTAGCGTTTTTTTAGCGAGTTAGTTTTCTACGGGATGGGGACGCTAACCCCGTGCCCAACCCTCCTCCTTTATCCGGGCTTGGGGCCGGCAGTAGCCCCCAGAGGGACTCCAGGCGGAGTTGTTATATTAATCATCCTTTATTAAATTGTCAAACCAAGTAGTATTTCGATAGATGATCAATTCTGTAGAAATGACCTGATCAACGCCAAATGTATCATGGGATACTTACAAAACTCCTTAAATGTGACCTGTGGTTAGCCACTACGGTATAGTACTAGGGAATATCAAACTTATGCCCTACTCTATAGAGAACTTATAAGCTTGGAGGATTCCAATCCCTATCACTGGTGTGAATTTGTGAAGTATGAAAAGTACATGACCAGAGGTACTCGCAACAAACATAATTAATTCAAGGACTTTAAAAACCATTTTCAGAATCCAAATCTCTGAGTAATTGTCATAAGGTAAATAATGTCATAACTTGCAATACCCACGCATATCACTAAATGACTATCTAAGAAAATGGTATTTACCAAGTCACTGTATAAAACTGAAGTGGACATTCAACGTGAGAAGTCACACTCCAGAAAGTGAATAAAAAAGTGTCTTGCAGCAATGAAATTTATCAAACACATTGAAAGTACTAAATGACTGAACATTGGAAGTCGGTATGGCATATGTGTAACGATCTCAGACGATAAAATGACTTCCTAGATTTCTTAAGAGAATCTAAAGGTACGCAGTAACCGTTGGATGAATCGGTGCAGAAAACAGAAACGAGGCCGAGTAGTATAACTCATAGATGCCTATAAAAACAATAAATTAATCTCACGTCTACAGTTTTCTTAATCCAGAAAGCTAGTGATAGACTCAATTATCCAACAGAATTTAAGTTTTATTGGTATAGAAACTGACCAAAAACAACTCCCACTCAAACAAATGATAAGACAGTAAGTAATTAATAAATCTTGTTACAATAAGATAGTAATATCTGATTGACCGTTATCGGTCACAAATCTGAATAAAAACACTGGTATCACTTTCTTTAACAGTTGAATACACGAAGCAATCTAAGCTAGACCACCATTGAAAACCCAGAAGTAATGGATGGCTTAGATTGACTAGTAAATTCAACTGTCAAAATACTACAATCTCCACAAATCCTCAAACTGATAATGAGATTACTACCTGAAGTATTGTTTAGTCATAAATCTCTACAAGTTAAAGGAAAAGACTATTATCTCATACATATCAAAAAGACCATAGTTCACTTCTAAACTATTAAGAGGAAGAGCTATTGTAGTCATCAGAGCTTTATCTAGTTAAATTCAATAAATCGATATTTGTCGCCTTGAACCATGTGAAAGTATTGAAATTTCATTGGTCAGTTTAGTTAAAGCGAAGCTTATTGGTTGAACAGGCTAAAATCTGTTATTGCTACTATTCTTCCAGTTAAACCAAGGACTAACTAGGTTCAGTAATTCATATGGATACAGTACACCAGAAAGTGTAAAGTAACATACATGCTCAGTGTGTCTGAAATAATTTTTTTTCTCAGGTCTATCGGTTGGTAAAATGTACAATGAAGGTCAATAAAAAGAAAAGAATAAAATTGAACTAAAATTCAATATAAATTGGATAATGAAGATATACCTAGCAGTGCAAACGAAAGATAACATTAATTTTTCATCAGTAGTGGAAAAAATTAAATAGATATCTGTCGAAAAGCAGTACAAAAGTAAATATTCAGAATCAATGGACTAAGGCTAAACAACAAATTACAAATTATATTTAATCGTATCAAAACCCCGTTTAAAAGCAAATAGGATAACAGTATATACATAAAGGGTTTTCCAAATACTGTAGCAATGTTATGTTCAACCTCAAAAAGATAGTTATTTCAGTAATGTTTGTCAGATACACCTCTCGTTAACAAGGATGTTCCATAGATTGTTGTTCGAAGATAGGTAAACAGAAGACTGAATACTATGGTGTAGTTAAAAATAATAAGATCTCTTCATAAAGAGCTCAATATATGAACCGAGGACGTCTAGAGTCTCACAATCAGTTGTGATACATGTAAAGCTCTGTACAAATGTGCGTTGACGCAATCTGCAAACTGATAAGTCTTGTTACCGACACATTAAAACTTTTTCTAGCTGGTTCCTATATCCCTAACTACTTTCATACGTCACCTAGGACATTGAAGAGGAGGCGCGAATTGCGAGTAAAAGCTTTACTCCAAGGTCAGTTTATGTAAAGAAAGACGAGGGTATTTCAAAGATTATACATGACCTCAAGCTTCCGGGAATTTCTGGGACCATATTAAATATAGTGGCAGTACAAGTAAATAACCATTCAAAACCATGGCACGTGATTCTGCATTTCTTAGATGTTTCTTGAGTGACTAGATTTAACGCTGACTGAACTAAACGTCTCCTGGCGTTTCTGTGCCTCTAGGGTCTATTGCGGGGGATATTTCCAGGACTCCTCCAACACAAACCACATAAGCGAGTGAATAGCGAGGAATAAATAGTCCTGATAAACACAAGAACTGATTATTGAAACGATAGTCTAGTTGATAACCAACTAACAATTTCTGGATTGCAGTTGGTAACTGCAGCAAGACAAACACAAACTATGTTGGTTCAAGCAGCTATATGCTTCAACCACCTCTCTTCTTAGATGGTTACAAACCAGAAATGATGTTAAATAGGATTGTTCAATCTAATTATTTCAACTAAATGATGTTTTAGGGGCAACTCAGAAGAAAGTGAATGTTGATCGTGTAGAGAATCTGTAAGATGTGATCTTATTATGTGAGGGAATCCAGATTACCCATTTTACTTTTAAGTAATGCTCACAAATATATGGACTTCGTATCGCCGAGGTTAAGTGTAGTTTTACGAGAGCGGTGGGAGCGTACATCCGTTCTTTAAAATAGACTGTTAGAAATCGTGTAGCAGTTTTTGCTACTGATTGGCTATGTAACCGTTGGTGATATTGTGACAAAAGTGATCGCTCTAGGTATCTAGGAATTCAGAACAGAATGCACCAACTAACCTTACCTTGGTGTAAGCATGAAGCTAGTTATCTCGTAAAGTGTCTGGTTGACAACACATCATTATGCTGAGTTCCGCTTCACGTATATAATACCTGAACAAAGCCACAGTAGAGCATATTCAGGATTAATCTATGTAGTTATAAATACCTAATATTGAAACTGAAACGATAAAGATGTCTTATATGATATTATGTTGTTCAATTGAATACAAGATAAAAACTAAAGGAAACTGAATGTTGACATTTAGGTGTTACGTTGTTTCTTTACTTACAGATAATTAAGTCTTGAAAGAATTTTCGCCCTTTTTTCCTCGCTTACAAATTGCTTTTGTCACATAAGAGACTAATCTATTCCCAGAGGTTACAAATATGATACAATCATTCTGTTTAAATGTTAATATCAATGATATCGATAACATATAAGGTAGTAAGCTAAGAGAGAAAATACTCAATCAGACGATACCATAGGTCAACATCGTGATATTAATTTAAAAGATATTGGGAACTTTCTTACTCCTCAAAACTCCAATTTACTGACGAAGGGAACTAGATAGTTCAAGGTTTTACTAAAGGGCATAAAAATACTGAATACTGCCTATATATAACCATTGGAATATGCACCATGCAAAATTATGCACATTACTCACAACTGAATATATCCTCAAGGACTGTTTATCGCCTATACAAAGATGGTCAATGAACTAAATGGCATGCTAAATTAGTCCACTTTTCATGTTATTTTTAGAACAACAGAGGTAATCAACAATTCCTACTGCCTGAAATACATATACAACTTTGCAGAAAATGAAACCCACTTTATTGTAGGATACATGGTTATCAGTTTAAAGCTATTTTAATATATTTACAAAACCACAAATTAGGCTCTATCGTATGTCAAGATACCGCCTTATTATACAATCAATTTTTGATAATCACATCTGACAACAGTAATGAAACAAATGAAACTACATTTTGATCACAAATCATTAGAGTTTTTCACGAGTGTACATATATATGCAACACATGATACTTTGACTCATTCAGTTTTCTGAACTCAACTTTCTTGGAACAACCGTAGACCTTTTATTTACGAAGAGATGTTTTACAGATAGAAAGTCTAAACAGAATTGATTCAAAAAGTTTCCACCATGAACAGACACCAACAAATGAGACATTGAGAAACATACATGGTGTGAAGACCTGCTCTTATGGTTAAAACACCTTCAAACTGTGAAATCAAGTAGTATCACCAGGCTTCACAGTCAGTCAGCTACAACGTAGGACTAGGCACATATATGAACATGAACAATGTGATTCAAAGTCAGGAACATAGGATCTTTATTAAGTTAATGAATCACATTATTTTAACTTCATTATTTCGTTCTTATCAAAGACATTTCTCCAGTATGCACCGATGACAATACATAGAACCGGATTCAAATACAGTCACATCTTCAAATACGCACGACAATAATCAGACACTATGGAGTCCATCGGTTTAAATTCTACAAACCCAGTCGCTTCGTGATAATAATTATCTGATCCCATCAGTGAAAATCTGTCTCACTTTAAACTCGATTGCTTCTAAAGACCTCAACTTTCAGCTTAATTTTCAGGATCTTCATAATGAAGAGGTCAAAGGAGAGTACTGGATTTCTAATTAGTTTGTACAGGTTTTTTTCAGATTTAGAGATAACTCTCAACATCGTTTCTAACGCCTCTACAGATGATGCCAGCTTACGATGAAGATTATCTTTAGTCTGAACGGAATATTCAATTAAAAAAGCTTGCGTACCATGTAAGCGGCATTTTCAGTATCATGAATATCTAGAAAAACTTTGAGCGGATATGTTCAGGATGGTTGTTTTTGTTACGAAAACGTTGCATATATTCTTCTACCCAGATCTCCTAATCTATTTTAACCAAAAAGCAATCAGCCGATCCCCGTGACACGATGTTTTAGATGATTTTATAGACAAAAAGCCAGGAGACCGAAAAAATTAGCCTTTACATTTATTGCCAACATTTTATAAATCGCATCAGGAAACCAATAATTATTTCCTTAAATAACCTATCTTTATATTATAATCTGAAGTTTTACGTTTATAATATTTACAATATTCCATAAGTTTGAGCTGAAAATTTAGTCAAAGAACTAGATACATTAATTAAGTTCCACAAATTCTACAAAATGATGTAATTCGATCATCGATATTCTCAATAGAATCTTATTTTATGAGGTGGAGAACACTTAATGATATTGTCGAAATTGATTCAGTATTACTAACATAATTCTATGTTGTTTTGTTTTCTGTTTACTGAAAAAGCTTATTTTAGTAATTAACATGACGGTTTAATAAAGTATACAAGTGAAAACATCCATTGATGGACATTAGGGAGTGTAGTTATCCGACATGTAGCCAAAGTATGCACATCCACTCATTAAGATCTACTCACATTAGAGTACGGACAGACGGTAAATTCAATACACGCGTACAACTCAATGATTGTGATCTATCTAATTTAACAAATAGTTGGAGAAGGATTGACATATTATAAACTGCTACTAACACAATTTAAGCCATTCTCAAATAGTACAGAAAAACTAGAAGACTTCAGTCTAAATCGATTAGAGCACAATCAATCAAAACGAACCAATCAGTGATTAGTTTTGAAATCAACCAATCACAATATAGACTGCCAATTTTTTTTGGAAAATGAAATTCAGACCAGGCATATGATTAGACTGATATGAACCTTTTAGTAATGATAATTACTCATTACTCAGAATTAATGCGTACTAACAGAAAATACTCTGCGAACACAGTCAGCCAAGCATACACATATGAATGTTATGTCAGAATATTTTCTACTAGTAATTAATAAAATGTTTATGATTATGAAAAGATTTCGTTGAAACTACGTTTCTTGGTTAGTTTTGTTAAAATCTATTCACTGAAAGAAAAAACAGAAAATACAATTTATAATAGAGAATAATCAAGTCTTTTGAAACGTCCAATTCTTAAGTACTGTTTTCTCAAATTCTAAAGAATACAGAGCTAGAAATATTGATGTCGCTTTGTAACAATGTCTAAAATTGCTAGTATATGTCTTACAGTAAATGTAGGCTCAGATAACAATAAAAAATTCAACAATTTCATGGATGCAGAAGTCGTCAAATTATTAGGATGATAACATATTTAATAATTCTTATGGCTAGATTACTTACTTCGCGAATGAACGGATCCATTTCTAGTCGTGTAAGATTGTAGTTATCCACGATGATCGCTAACACTCCACTATACATAGATGACCAAACTGTGTAAAATAATGTAAATAAAATACCTCTCACTTCATAACATGTAGAGCACTTATCAAAGTTATTCAAACAGAAAACAATAATAAGTTTACGTATGTAAGACAGTAAGCATGTTTCTGAGTGTTCTGCATCAACAACTAATTGAGAGGACAGTAGTGGTTCTGTTCTAACAAAAGACCTCTTTTAACCGATAAACTTTGAGATGATTATATCCTGTAATGGAATGGATAGGTTCATATTGTTTATTTATCCACTACAAATTAGCGAGATGATCAGCTTACGCTACTTATTTCCATCACTCAGTGAATGAAACTTCCCAATGAGTCACTTCACATACTGCACACACACAGAGAGAGAGAGGAATATAAATTAAAACATTTTAGATTGTAACTTATCTTGTCATTTGTCAAATATAACAATATGATGTGGTCGATTACAACACAATTATCCGATCTTAATCATTCAAGAATAGTTATTATGCATTAAGCAAATTAAAGGATAATGAATACTCACTTTTGTAGCAAAATTAATAAATCATCATTATGATATTTAGAACTAAACAGACTACCTGGGATTTCATTTAATCGATAAATTGATTATCGAATACTTCATCTTCGATTTACTTCATAACATTTAATAATAAAGTGAAAATTGAAGATCTAGTTGAATAACGAAACAACTTCAGAATGAATTATCATCTTGTTAAAAAACATGTTTATCAAATTCTACTTAATAATTGCTATCTATGCCTTTAACCCGTTTATCACGAATGTAATAAACACAACTAAGCAAAGTCGAACAAACAATATAGAGAGTAGATTTATCAAACAGAAAATTTATTAATTTTTACTGTAATCAAATATAACTTCCAAACAGGCTACAATAATGCTTGTTAAAAATAAAACAGTAGAAAGAAACCTGATGAAAGTATTTACAATTATGCCTAATATTAAATATAAATATAAATATTAATAATCTTGATTTATCTAGGAAATGAAACTGAGAATAAACCCTGACAATTAATATAATGAACGAGAACGCAGGTAAAGAAAACCAGTGTATTTTAATGCAAAATTACAAAATATCTTGATAAAATATGAAGACCATACAGCGAATATTTCATTTGCGAATTCTCGTCATTTTAAAGTCACGCTCTGCATGATTCTTCTAGTTCACAATTCCCTTCTGTTCTCTTCAACTCGATCTTCTTGTCTGTCGACATGAGTAGCACACACCATACTAATATTATTTTATATTACCTGAATAACCTGGAAGCACTGGAGGGCCGTTTCGTCGTAGTATGGAAATCCGCATTAGTGTGCATCCACAAACCCGCACACCAGACTTGAACCTAGGACCTTCTGTCTCGCGCCCGAACCCTTAACCACTAACCGAGATCGAAAGCCCTGGGTTCGAATTCCGCGTGCGGGATCGAGGATGCACACTCCGGAGGACTCCCATATCAGGATGAAACGGCCGTCCGGTGCTCCAAGGTTTTCAATGGTGGTCTAACGTTGATCGATTCATGATCGCGATCAAAACTCAACAATCTCCACAACCCTATACCGATTAATTACCTGAATAAGTTAATTACTTTGAAGTGAAATTGAAAGATAAAACACTGATAAGGTGATAAAGTGAATAAAACTACTTCAACAACAAATATATTCAGTCACTTGTATTCACTGGTTTTCGGAATTGTACAGTCTAATTATGTAGCTTTCATTCTCGTTTTAGACAAACTGGTATTGAAAAAAAAGGCGTTGATGACTTTTTCTTTAGATTTGACAATGAAACCTAGTCAAGTGAACCCACCCAGGTCAAGAGGGAGTTCACACACACACTTATACACTAATAAAGATAATTCACTTAAGCCAGAAAAATGAAACCATTTTTTCAATCGTTTTATGATTTCACTGAAAAACAAACTTAAACAAGATTAAATAGTGAGATGATTAAAACATTTCCGCCCAGTCGTTTAGAGATATACAAATATATTTAATATCCTATGTTGCAAGTTTGTTTTCTTGTCTTTTCATTTATTAGGAAGATTTCAAATAATCTAGTTTTGTCAATAAATGTAAATTTCTTTCCTGTAATGATAACTAAAGAAACATTTTATCCGAAATTATATTTTCGTACAATTTCCGGTAACTCCGCATGGAGTCCCTCCGGGGGCTACAGCCCGTCCCAAGACCGGATAAAGGAGGAGGGTTGGGCATGGGGTTAGCGTCCCCATCCCGTAGAAAACTAACTCGCTAAAAAAACGCTAACCAGAAAAAAATTATTCAAACCTTTTAAACTCTGCCCTGGGAGTCAGAAGGTCTTCATTTGGAAGAATTATGACGCCTCATGATGAAAGCCGAATTCCTTCAGAAGTTACGAGGCCGATGCCCCTTCTGACAACCAGAGCAACCATTTATTTAGGTACATGGAATGTTCGTACACTGTGGGACACCGGGAGAGCCTTCCAAATTGCTGCAGAAATGAGAAGATACAACCTAGAGGTACTTGGGATCAGTGAAACACATTGGACACAAGTTGGACAACAACGACTAACTACACGAGAGCTCCTTTTATACTCCGGCCATGAAGAAGAAAATGCACCACATACACAAGGAGTTGCATTGATGCTGTCCAAACAAGCATAAAATGCGCTTATAGGATGGGAATCTCATGGGCCAAGGATCATCAAAGCCTCGTTCAAAACAAAGAAAGATGGCATTTCAATGAACATCATCCAATGCTATGCGCCTACCAACGACTACAATGAAGACGCTAAAGATCAATTCTACAATAGGCTGCAGTTAATCGTCGAGAAGTGCCCAACAAAGGACCTAACTATTCTGATGGGAGATTTCAACGCCAAGGTTGGAACGGAGAACACTGGATATGAAGACATCATGGGACGACACGGACTGGGAGAAAGAAACGAAAATGGTGAGAGATTTGCAAACCTGTGTGCCTTCAATAAGCTGGTCATAGGCGGCACCATATTCCCACATAAACGCATACACAAAACCACATGGACTTCACCGGATCACTCTACACAAAACCAAATCGACCATATTTGCATCAACAAAACGTTCAGGAGGACTATAGAGGACGTGAGAACCAAGAAAAAGCTGATATAGCATCAGATCATCACTTGCTGGTCGCCAAGATGAAATTGAAACTCAAGAAACACTGGACAACGGGGCGGACAATATCACAAAAGTTCAATACGGCCTTTCTTCAGGATACTAACAAACTCAACAAACTCAAGATAGTCCTCAGCAACAAGTTCCAGACCTTTCATGATCTACTCAATGGAGAAGGAACTACTGTGGAGAGCAACTGGAAGGGGATCAAAGAGGCAATCACTTCAACATGTCATGAGGTCCTGGGTCACAAGAAGCACCATCACAAGGAATGGATCACTGTTGATACACTGGATAAGATTCAAGAAAGGAGGAACAAGAAGGCAGCAATCAATACCAGCCGAACAAGAGCAGAAAAAGCCAAGGCACAAGCTGAATACACAGAAGTAAACAAACAGGTGAAGAGGAGCATCAGAACCGACAAACGTAAATATGTGGAAGATTTAGCAACGACGGCGGAAAAGGCTGCAAGAGAAGGAAACATGAGACAATTGCATGACACGACAAAGAAACTCTCTGGAAATCGCCGCAAACCAGAACGACCAGTGAAAAGCAAGGAAGGCAAGGTAATCACCAACATTGAAGAGCAACAAAACAGGTGGGTAGAACACTTCAAAGAACTCTTGAATCGACCAGCTCCACTGAACCCACCCAACATCGAAGCAGCACCCACGGACCTCCCAATCAATGTTGGCCCACCAACAATTGAAGAAATCAGCATGGCCATCAGACAAATCAAGAGTGGCAAAGCAGCAGGACCGGACAACATCCCAGCAGAGGCACTAAAAGCAGACGTAGCGGCAACTGCAAGGATACTCCACATTCTCTTCAATAAGATTTGGGATGAGGAACAAGTACCAACAGACTGGAAAGAAGGACTTCTGATCAAAATACCGAAGAAAGGCGATCTCAGCAAGTGTGATAACTACAGGGGCATCACTCTTCTCTCAATACCGAGAAAAGTCTTCAACAGGGTATTGTTAAACAGGATGAAGGACTGCGTAGACGCCCAACTTCGTGACCAACAGGCAGGATTCCGTAAGGATAGATCGTGTACAGACCAAATCGCAACTCTACGGATCATTGTGGAACAATCAATTGAATGGAATTCATCACTCTACATCAACTTCATTGACTACGAAAAGGCATTTGATAGCGTGGACAGAACAACACTATGGAAACTTCTTCGACACTACGGCGTGCCTCAGAAGATAGTCAATATCATACAGAGTTCATATGATGGATTACACTGCAAAATCGTGCATGGAGGACAGTTGACAAAGTCGTTCGAAGTGAAGACCGGTGTTAGGCAAGGTTGCTTACTCTCACCCTTTCTCTTTCTCCTGGTGATCGACTGGATCATGAAGACGTCAACGTCTGAAGGGAAGCGCGGGATACAATGGACATCTAAGATGCAGTTGGATGGTCTAGACTTCGCAGACGATCTTGCCCTTCTATCCCAAACGCAACAACAGATGCAGGAGAAGACGAACAGTGTGGCAGCAGCCTCAGCAGCAGTAGGTCTCAATATACACAAAGGGAAAAGCAGGATTCTCCGATACAACACAGCATGCACCAATCCAATCACAATTGACGGAGAAGATTTGGAAGATGTAAAAACCTTTACATATTTGGGCAGCATCATTGACGAACAGGGTGGATCTGATGCAGATGTGAAGGCGCGGATCGGCAAAGCAAGAGCAGCATATTTACAACTGAGGAACATCTGGAACTCAAAGCAACTGTGAACCAACACCAGGGTCAGGATTTTCAATACAAATGTCAAGACAGTTCTACTATATGGGGCAGAAACCTGGAGAACTACAAAAGCCATCATCCAGAAAATACAGGTGTTTATTAACAATTGTCTACGCAAAATACTTCAGATCCATTGGCCGGACACTATTAGCAACAACGTACTGTGGGAGAGAACAAACCAGATCCCAGCGGAGGAAGAAATCAGGAAGAAGCGCTGGAAGTGGATAGGACACACATTGAGGAAAGCACCCAACTGCGTCACAAGACAAGCCCTCACATGGAATCCTCAAGGCCAAAGGAAAAGAGGAAGACCAAAGAACACATTACGCCGAGAAATGGAGATAGACATGAGAAAAATGAACAAGAATTGGATGGAACTAGAAAAGAAGGCCCAGGACAGATTGGGTTGGAGAATGCTGGTCAGCGGCCTATGCTTCAATGGGAGTAACAGGCGTAAGTAAGTAAGTACAATTTCTGATGTTTTCATATTGTTGATTATCAGTTGGTTTTTGGATTTTCCTGTATCCTGAGGTCATGCGTTGTTGCTATATTTTTACAGAATTGTTCTACTTCAGATTTATATTCATTCTTAACAAGTATTTTATACACTACTCCCATCAACCTTCGATTCCATCATTTGTCACATTCGATCCCTTACGTATTAGAATGATCTCAATCAATTGTAATTAGAAATTACCATAGGCTCAACGTAATAAATCTTAGGCCGTAACATTATTGTATTATAATAATAACAAAATGTACAGAGCTCTCTTCCAATTATTCCTAAGTTCCAATAATTTTTTACCATTCGATTTGTGTTCAATGCTAACCAACACTTGATAGCGATACTAGCAAACAGAAAGTCATTAGTGCCACTGATGTAAACAGATTCATTATTGATGAATTCCATAATATGATAGTCTTGTCAAATGGGCACACAAAAGTTGAGTTCATAATAGTGACTAAGCAGGATAAGGTATGACACAAATCTACCCAATTACTAACTACTAGATAGAATCCATGGAAAAAATTATTTTCAGTCTACTTATAATTTCCTCGATGGTTTTTCTCTTTCTCGCAGTATTATTGAATATGGCAACGTGAACTTCATGCAAAATTTTATCCGAGGTCTAAAAATTTTATAATTTCTAAGAAATATATAGAGTAAATTTGATAATTATGGCTAGTCTAAAGTTTGTACTAGTCACAGACGAATCTTGGTTCGAGTACCATTGAAAACCAGAAAGCAATGGATACCTGATTCATTGTAGCACTACTCTTCAGTATAGTGCACTCATGATACCACCACGGACTGAATACCGGACCTCCAGGTCTTGCGGAGTCCTGTAATACTAGGACGTGACCACTGGAGTTCAAATGAGTCGGGTAAGTTAGTTACCAACCGAAGACAATGGAATTTAGTCGCTCAGTAACGTGGATTGATTGGAGTTAGACGTTAACACCGTAGGATACCAGGTAAATGGTCCAGAGGTTAGATGTTCGTGAGAGATCGAACGACCCGGGTTCGAACCCCGTGCGCGGGGTCGTGGGTACGCACCGCTGAGTCCCATGCTGGGACGAAACAGTTGTCCAGTGCTCCCTGGTTCTTAATGTTGCTCCAAATAAAACAAATGTGACGAATACGGCCTACAAATTAAACTAATCTCCATAAAACCCCTTGAAATAGGATATGCTTTAAACTAAGCGAGGGTATTAAACAAGCCTGCCGCCATCACTACTACTAATACTATTAGCTTATCTACGATGATTACCCAATACCCGACTAGAAAATAAATAGTCAACTTGACAATTTACAAAATGACAAGGTTGTTTCAGACATTCAATATCTGAAATCAACATCACACATTTAAACAGGCTGATCATAACGCTCGCTGAAAATTATTTCAAGTCCAAGTTATACACACGTATGTCTGTATTTTAATGAACAATCATATCAATGTCTACATTTTTTTTCTATTTTACATCATTTATTGGTATCTCAACCCCCCCTCCTGTCCTCAGTATTGATTACGCTTGTAATTTAAGCATTACGCAGTTCCAAACGCGACTACATGAAGTTCAATGTCATGACCTGAAATATAAAGCGTTCCATTTTCATATTCAATTATTTAACCAGTAGTAAATAAAAATCCATACCTATCAGCCACACTAACACAACAGAGTAAATATACATTAAATGACATGAGTTAAATTAATTTACAACGAAACAAGTAGTAGATAGTTATATGTGAGAAACAAAACCGAAAGCGAGTCCTGGACTGAATGGTAGCCATAACTGACCTTGTATCGATTGTTAACCAAACTAATATTTTGTCTTTAATGAAGAAAATCTGTCATAAGAGTAGAGCAATTGACTTCTCTAATGATTACTAAACGAATAAGTTTTATGTAAATTTCGCAGAATTAGTAATACAAACACTGTAAGAGAGATGCCATTTATCTTCTCAGATCAAAATACATAAGATATTCAGTCATGGTCTAAACAGACATAAATGGTTAAAAAAAATTCAATAAACACTCTGAACTCTTTCACAGAATGAATTCACACACAATAGGGAACAATAAGTCACACACACATACACACACAAAGTAATTATTACCTTTTTGCTTACAAGCAGCTATTGCTTCATTCAATTCGGTATTATTATATTTATGAGTCTTTTCAACTTCATCATAAAAATAATCATCATTTGAAGCTATTAGAAAATTACGCTGATCAAGTTTATCAACGAGAAATCTGAAATTTTATAAAAGAATTCGATAACAATTCATAAATGGATGAAATTTGAGTCAAAATACAACTGAGGTTTTGCAGAGTATTAACAGTGTACATTATGAATAAATAAATAATATATTTGTAATATCCCAATGAGTAGAAAAATGAGATTTTCTGACGTTTCGTATATATATATACCTTCAGAAGGAATTTAAAGACACTAGTGATAATCACAATTGCATGGTGAGTGTCAAATTGTATTAAGCACAGAAAACAATAAGCTGTTACATGGTTGGAGGCAGTCATCAGACACTGAACTAAGACACTTGTCGGAATGACATATTTATGATCTTGAGGAGAATCTAAACTGAACTCCTCACTGTTACAATAAAGGACGTTACCACTAAGCTATTCTTATCTCGTCCTTATTAAGCAATTCCTACTGACTGTTTCCATTAAAATAATATTCGAACGCAGTGCATACGACATCGAGTCATTTAGATTCGTGAGAACATTTCAATTTGATTAAAAGAATCCAGCAGGAACTAAAGATTAGACAAATACAACGACATTCACTATTCATTGATCAACCAGTGTAAATAACCAAGTACACTCATTGCAAACTGACCATATCAACAACCTATGATGAGTAAATGTATAGCACCGATGACAATTTCGCTAGGAGACTGCTAGCTGTTATCAACAACTGTTCCTCAAAATCTGCACACATGTTCAGGGTTTAAGTGGTATAGTAAAAATGAATACCCAAGTGTTACTTTAAGGCAATATCATCATTTCAATGGAGTATATTTTTATGGAAAAAAGACGGATAGGTAGGTTATTTATTTAAATTTCATTACGAGACGGAAGTTATAAAATTCCCGAGACGTCTCTGGCAACGACCAAATCATAGAGAAGCATGTGAGTAATAGAAAAGGTCAAATACTTCCGAGATATCTCATTACAGTAGTAATATACATAACTAATTTGTGACGGTTTTATGCATACGAAAGCCAACAGTTGTACAGCCTTCCTGAAACACTTAAAATTCACTTGGATAAGAAGTTGAGAAAACAAAATTATTGTATTCATGATATCTATGGGGGAATCTTGTTTGAAAGTTAGAAAATCACTTTGTTCAGTTCACAAAAATAAATTTTCGACAGGATTTATCTACAAACAGTATCATGTTGAGCAGTATAACTAGATCTGTAAGTATATAAGCCGCTGATCCAATAGATAAGGAATAGTATAGAAATTCTTTATCTTATTCAAAAATAGAATTTGTCTGCCGGAAGAATCAATTAAAATCTACTGTAACATATATCGAGCTTTTTAAAAAATGAGTGTTGACAAATAGCTACAGCAACTAGCTTAACAACAAACATCCGCCCACCTTAATTCATCACAGTATGAAAACCTAAAAAAACATTCTACTATAAAGAAGAAAATCAAATGATAGACAAGGTCATTCCATTAAAAAAACACATTTCGACTAATGTCATCCTTTACATCAGATGATTAACCACGACATATCAGGCAATCAGGCTGATTAACACACGGGGATGAGAAATTTTCACTGTGATTGGGTGTCGATGCAAACGATAACCTTGAACAAACCAATAGAAAGCGAAATTGGAAGAATTCTACAGACTCATGTTCAGGGATATCAAAATCATATGTGGAAAATCAGTGAAGTAAAATTCACATGATGTAGCTTTGGAATTGCGCAATGTTTTTGTACCATAAATGAATAACTTGCACTGAAAACTGTCTTGAGAGATCTATGTTGTTACTTGTCTGGCTAAATTACTAATAGATAAAATAATTATGTACCTACGTCTATAAAGTCCGCCTGTAGCTGTCCTACAGTTACTGCTGGTCCCAAGCCCACACAAAGGAGGATGGTCGGGCATGGGGTTGGCAACTCCATCCCGTAGAAAACAACCTTGCTACAAAAACGCCAACCAAATTAAACGATTTAAACTCTGCTCTGGGAGTTGAACGAAGAATTATGACACCTCATAATGAAAGCTGAGTTCTTTCAGAAGCCGCGAGGCTGATGCCCATTCTAACAACCAGAGCAACAATTCTTATAGGTACATGGAACGTCCGGAAAATGTGGGAGACCGGGAGGACTAGTCAAATAGCAACGGAAATGAGGGGATACAACTTGATAGTGCTCGAAATAAGTGAAACCCATTGGACACAAGCTGGACAGCAAAGGATAGATTCAGGAGAAATGTTGCTGTACTCCGGTCACGAAGAAGAAAATGCTACACGCTCACGGAGTTCTGATGCTGTCCAAAAACACGAAATGCACTTATAGGATGCGAATCTCATGGATCCAGAATCATCAAAATTTCTTTCAATAGAAGAAGTGGATCTCGATGAATATTATCAAATGTTACGCACACAACCAACGATAGCAACGACGACAATAAAGATCAGTTCTATGGGAGGCTACAATCAATCATACAGAAGTGCCCAGGAAAGGACCTGACCATCCTGATGGGAGATCTAAACGTCAAAGTCGGGATGGACAACAACGGTAACAAAGACATCATGGCACGACATGGACTGGGAGAAGGGAACGAGGATGGATAAACATTTGCAAATCTATGTGCACTCAACAATTTTTTTATAGGTGGGACAATATTCCCACACAAACGCATACACGAAGCTACGTGGGTCTCACAGGATAACACTTCGGAGAAACAGATTGATCTTATTTGTATCAATAAAAAATTCACAAGGTCAATGGAAGACATGAGAACTAGGAGAGGAGCTGACATAGCTTCAGATCACCACCTGATTGTGGCCAAGATGAAACTGAGGCTAAACAAACACTGGACAAACAGCATTACAAAGGTCCAATACAGATTTCCTTCGACATATTCAAAAACGCAACCAATTCAAGAGAACTCAACAACAGGTCCCAACCATTATTAGATGTACTGGGAGAAGAAACTGTTGTGGGGGACAACTGGAAAGGGATCAAAGAAGTATTACCTTTAACGTGTTACGAGGTTCTGGTCCTCAAAAAGTTTTATCATAATGCATGGAGCGCTATGGAAATCCTGGACAAGATTCAAGAAAGGAAGAACAAAAAAACAGCAGTTTAACAAGGGCAGAGAACGTCGAGGTAAAAGATGAATGCACAGAAGCAAGCAAGCAAGTTAAGAGGAGCATTAGGGACGAAAAGCAAAAATACGTAGGAGGGGTAGCAACGACGGCAGAAGAAGCTTCAAGAGAAGGAAGTATGATACAACTATATGACGCAACGAAGAAACTGACAGGGATATATAGTAAACCAGAGAGAGACCAATCAAGGATAGAAAAAGCAAGACAATCACTGAAATTCAAGGACAGAGGAAGAGATGGGTGGAACACTCAAAGGAACTATTGAACAGACCAGCTCCATTGAATCCACCAGACACCGAAGCAACACACATAGACATTTTTGGATATGTCGAACCAACAAAAATCGACGAAACTAGAGTGGCCCTCAGACGAATCAAAATTGAGAAAAGCAGTAGGACCAGAAAATATATAGGCTAACACATTCAATTAAGACAGAGGCAACTCAAAAATGTTACACCTACACAGGGAAATGTGGGAGGAAGAACAATACCAACAGACAGACTGGAAAGAAGGACACTTTTACGAGATACCCAAGAAACAAGATCTGAGCAACTGTGATAACTAAAAAGGCATCGCACTATTGTCAGTACCAGGAAACGTTTTAAACAATGTTACTGAACCGGATGAAGGACTTGGTAGACTCCCAACCTCGAGATCAACAAACTGGATTCCGTAAGTATCAGTCGTGCACAGATCAAATCGCGACACAATGGATCATCGTTGGATAATTAGTTAAATGGAACTCGTCACTACACACCAACTTCATTGACTACGAGAAAGTATTTGACAGTGTGGATAGGAGAACTTCGTGGAATAATCCTCAACACTATTGTGCACCTGAGAAGAACGTTAAAATTTCCGGAATCCATACAACGGTCTAAGGAGCAAAGTGGTGCATGAAGGACAGTTGACAGGTGCATTGTAAGTAAGGGTCGAGGTCAGACAAGTATACCTACTCTGCCCCGTCATGTTTCTTATCATGGTTGATTGGATTATGAAAACCACGATGTCTGATGGTAAACACGAAATACAATCGATAGATTGGGTGCAACTAAATGATTTAAACTTTGAGGATGACCTGGTTCTTCTACTTCATACTCGCGAACAAATGCAAGTGAAGACAACTAAAGTAACAGAAGCCTCAGGATCAGTAGACCTCAACAAACACAAGCGAAAAAGCAACATCCTCAAATACAACACACAGAACACTAACACAATCACAAATGGTGGAAAGTTTCACGTACCACCTACTCAGCATAATCGATCAATAAGGAAGATCTGATACAGATGTAAAGGCAAGGATTGGCATAGCAAGAACAACATCCCTACAGTTCAAGAACATTTGTATCTCAAAACAACTCTCAACCAATATCAAACTCACAATCTACAATACGAATGTCAAGACAGTTCTACTGTAAGGAGCTCAAACTTCCGGAACTAACACAACCATCATCAAACATGTACAAGTATTAATAAGCAATCGCCGATTCAAGATACTCCATGTTCGTTGACCAGATACCATCAACAATAGTCTACTGTGGGAGAGAACAAACCAGATTTCACCTGAAGAGGGAATTAGGAAAGGACTTTGCAGGTGGATAGGACATACATTTCGGAAATCGCTTAGCTGCATCATGAAGCAAGCCCTAACTTGGAATCCTGAAGGGAGACGGTAAAAGGGAAGACGAATGAACACACTGAATCGGGAATTGGAAACAGACATGAAAAGGATGAATAATAACTAGAAATGATTGCCCAGGACAGAGTTACATTGGGAGTGTTTGTGGGCGGCTTATGTTCTTCCAAAAGGAGGAACAGACGTAAGTAAGTTATAGATAACAAATATCAGAGAAAAACTAGCGTAATAGAAATTACCTTGCTAGTGTAGATTTTCCGCTACCTGGGACACCACGTAACAAAACTAGAAATCTTGTACCCCATTTAGAGTTATAAGCTTCATATATTACGTTCTTAAGTCTCACTATTTCTGGAGAATAAGAGAATAGATTTCTCTGGACTTCTGATTTTTCAGGGATGATACACTTAGGTGCAAAGAATTCCGAGACCATTTTGATAAAGCTGTAACTAAAAATATGGAGAAATAAAAAAATAAACGAAACGAGCATATTAGTAAGGAAACTAGCTAAAATAGGGATCATCATTATTTATCAAAACGAGGCATAAAATGTTTTTCAATCAACTGAATGATAATCCCAAAACCTTACAAATAACCGATCAATAGTAAAGCATTGAATGAAGAGGCTAGATCAACACAAGTGGATGTTCCTACAAATTATATTTATTTCAGGAAAAAAAGTGATTAACCAGCGAAAAAATATTGGTTAGGAACCGATGGAAGAAGTAAAATTAGACTGTAATTTATCCAACAATGCAATATCTAAGATCAAAACGAAAAACAGTGGGTGCGTTTGGGCTCATTCATCCGGCCTTCAACAGTATGACAAAAAATAATTGTTTCGCAGACAGAGCAGGGAACAGGCACTTACTTGCGAAATTCATATTAGTGACCAACAATTTTATGAATTGATAATAGAACGCGATACGAGATTTTATAGTTTTTTAGCGCACTATTATGCCGCCTAACGAACGTTAAAGTAATAGCATGATAAAGGTAACATATAGCCTACCTATGCTTGACCATGTTTCATAAACATTCCTGCCAGGCATTAATCATCTTTATAATAGAGATTATTTATTCAGAAAAGAAATATCGCTGTTACCGTTTTACTTCAATTGTTCATAAGCAATGTATGACCTAGCACAAATGTATATCCCTCAAATTATAAATCAGCACAACGAGAACATTAAAAAAGGGAAAGCAAAATAGTGAAAATACCAATACCAGATAGTTCGAAAACAATAAATAAAATAGGAATACAAAGTGAATGGAATGTCACTCAATTTAACATTTAAAGGAAGGAAAAGTAGAGATATATTTCCACCAATACGGTTGTCATTAGGTCGTATCGTTGATGAAGAGGCAATTTTGAAAGATTTTCGAACTTTCTTCTGTGTAAATGCAACCCATTAGAAATTAGTGCAACACAAAATTTATAATCTTTATCTAAGTCTACTTATTTGACTTTTACACAAGGACTGATAGCAGAAATGGGTTAACTGTGAACAATGTAAAAGTTGAAATACGACATCGCCATTTCACCGTATTCTAATCGAATAGTGAAATGTTATTAGAAAATTGAACGTCTATTTATGGTACAGTTAGTCAGTCATGTGCAACATAGAATATGGCACATACGCATTAGTTCAAGTGGCCATGCTACGTAGGCACAGAAGTACAAAAGTATCAAGACAAATTTCAGAGTAGTAGAAGTAGTAACAGTGTCAACTCTAGTAAAAAAGATTAGGTATCCTAAAACAAAAAAAAACAGACATAAGATCTCTGAACTCAGGTTCTAAGGGAAGACGAAAACTGAATGGACCTGCTAACGATCGTAAGCCATGTCACCCAAAGTTGTTAACAAATGGTTACAACAATCAATTAAGTGGATGGTAATTTATGACTGAGGCTAATAAAGTGTTAAATATCTGGCAAATAAGAAGTTTTGATTTGATATTCTAAGTAGTTAACTCATTAAGAACTACAAATACTGATCAGGTAAAACTCTGAAGGTAATTGAAGATGAGTATTATCTGGTTTTGCACGGCATACAACATAAGATATCACTTACAAATCTTGAAATTATGTCTAGTACTCAGCGAAAGACTACGAGAAGAACAATGTAATGCATGAGTAAATATAAAGGCTATATAATATGCAACTTAATTAACACATCTTTTTCTTTTCTAAAATGCGAATACTCTACAAAGCAAGCGTACAAACCACTGTCTTGTATGTAGTTCTCATTATTCGAAGTAGAATTAAACAAAACAGATGCTTCTTGTAGCTAACATATACATTTGCTTCATATTGTTCACTGAAAAGAAAACACTTCAATATCATTAGACAATGTGGGTCAAGTAGAACGATTCTGATATCTTTCTAAATGATCGTACATTGAAATATATCATAATTTTTAATTAGGTGCATACTTTTCAATATGAAATATTGACAGACGAAAAGCCAAAATCCAAGATCTATATTGATTTAGTCAGTAGTTTAATTGGTGGACCAAACACGATACCTGAAGTTGACGAACAGAAATATTTGTTTTTACATCTTAAATATTAAACAGTAACTTTTCAAATGAATGTTTGACTTAGTACTATGGATGATTTCTCATGTGGATAGTGTACTCCTGTCAACGTACTCAGAAAAATACATCTTTATCTCCACTTTTTGACTTTAAATAGTCTAGCGGACGATGTATCAGAAGTATCAGACTCACAAACCCTCATAGACTTATTGAAATATAACAGTGGAAGAATTAGATATGCTAGACAAGTTAACTAAACATACTATAAACTAAAACAACTGGAACATATTTGGATTATTTAAAACTTTGAATACCTCGTAGTAAATCGGGTCAAAATCTCTGATCCTACACTACAGAGAGCAGTGTAAACCGCGCAGTTTGGGCATGGAAACAAACAGGAAAAAACACAGAGCCATATATAAATGTATTGTTTCAATTTCCCATATATTTTTTCCAATCGCACGGAAGAGAGCAAATACAGACAAAAGTAGCTAGACAATGGAAACTTGAAAATACAGGAAAATCTGTTTTTCCAATCTAGTGTCTCAAACAACCAGTACATAAAATTTTTCGAAGACGTTGTTGGTCCTAACCGCAACAGCAGCTGCATAAACTAATGAAAAGTTCACGAGTAGTCACCATCCCGTTCCGGCCTTTTTAGAGAAGCCTAGTTGTCTGATGCCAATCTGGTTACCACACACACGAATAGTAAACATTCGGTTGTCACAAAGTAGGGAAAACAGATGAACAAAGTAGAAACTCAGAAGTGAACGTTTCTATTTCCTAGTTTAAATTACGAAGTGATATTAGCTAGACCCACATTGAAAACCTGGAAGGACTACCGGACGGCCGTTTCGTCCCAGCATCGGACTCCTAAGCAGCAGTAGACCTAACATACAACTGGAGATATTGGTTAGAATTTGTCCCACTAAAAGAGTTGCGTACATTTCTCATAACCCTCTAAAGCTTGATTTTATTTTAATTGAAGAATCTCATTCTTCGATCTCATTTGTTGTGTTTGAACCATATCTAGCTTTTCATTGTAGCTGACAATGATAAAGCGACTTATAGATAATACTTAGTACTCGTGGCAAGTTGAAGTATTTCTGCCAACAACTTAACAATAAACGGAAGTTGATTAGCCGTCAAGTTATCTCCGAGACAAAACATATAAGAACGAACCTAATGTAATTATTATGAAAAGGAAACTGATTTATGTCTAATCTGGGAAGATATGACATGTTAAGAAAGAGGTGACTTGTTAGCTTCAATGGTATCATAGTAGTTGGTAAATTTCAGTTAAGAAAATAAGTAATGTCTAAGGGTATTTTATTAATAATCATCCTATACCCTTAAAAACATGTTGAGGTATTACTTCTTCGAGAAAATACTAAGGATACCAGATTATTTTTAATGATGGATTCGTAGAATTAAGATATGGTCTATATTTTTAGATTATTTAATTAAGCTTGAAGGTCAGAAAATGCACACCAGTGAAGTACACAATAAGGTAAACCAATCGAGCATAAATTTGCCTTCCCTGTAACGTGAAAGTTTTTACGGTAAAGCTGGTCTCAGTAATGATTAAAGTATACATCAATGCAGGCTACAGACTTTCATCATAGTTGAACTCGTTGACCTGAATGTCTACCCACTTTTCTAAAGTACAATTTTATTGGTTTAAAACTCAGAAGATAATAGTGTGACAGACAGTCACAAAGCATAACTTGGCAAAGAGAAAGCATGTACGTGAAAAAGATAGAATATTGGGCTGGTATGTCTAGTTAGTATTTTGGGCCTATAGGTTCAGAAGAGAGGATCTATGGCACTGGTATTGATTTATTTCAGGCATACATGTCATAGGTGTCCTCAAACAGGTTTTTTTTACAGGAATCAAACTTGCGAACCTAACATACACTTCTAGGGCGGTATAAGCATTTCAACATCTGACTGAATCAGTAAAATGCAAAACACTTGGTTAGTGAACAAAATCAGATATTCGATACAAACACAAGACAAAGTGGGACGCCTATATTCTGTGTCTATTTTCAAATTTGATCCCGGTATGCGCTATCAAAATAGGGGAATGATTGTATTTAAGCATCTTCCTACGCCTGTTTTGGGGCTAGGAAGAATGATAGGCATGAAAGGTGTTTCGTGGAGGTCTGATAAGTGACGTCACTTGGAGATCGATATTCATTAGTTTCAACGGTACAGTGAACTCAAACCTTATTTCCACTAAACTACCAAACTGCATTTCATTTCACTAAATTGGCATATATATTTTAAGATCGTTAGGTTTGTAATTTTACCAGGTAAAACAACTCAGTGTTGGTGACTAAGGATCTTATATATCCCCTGAACGCGCTGTATCAAATCTGAATTTGTGAGTAATCCTCAATCGCCCGTACCAGTTTAGAAAGTCTGTTGCAATACTCCACCATCATCAATTCGTCAACCATAATAAAAATAGGAATATCGCTACCCGATTCTATTGTGAAATTACCTTGTCAGACTACCAAATCTAAATGCTAGGTACTTGAAAGAAACTTAAAAGATTCTATCACAACTTTCTCAGCATTTTGGCTTGGTGAGTACAGACACGAATTGAAGCCAATCATCGATGTATAACGTTTTGCAAAAGAGCACCAATCCAAAAAACGAGTTCTATCTATGCTATCGCATTCCTTAATTCTCAAGACTCAGAAATCAAGTTATCATTCGGAGGCCTACATAAGATCTAGTGAAAAAAAGCCTACCAGAAGACAAATCCAGTCAGTATCAGTAACATAGGACTATCACGTTTGACTAATACTTTTTCCATCTGAAACTACAACATCTAGTGTTGTATTTCACATAAAAAATCCGAGTTAACCGTTAACCTCTCATCATACCCTAATAAATAAAGGGA